ATATAGCTCTATGGCTTTGCCAGGCAAAGGAGGCTGCAGCAGACCATGACCTTCAACCCTGCAAGCCCATCTGGAGGAAAGGGTCTGAGGGCGGAATGGGAGGTTACTAGGGAAATACAGGATCAAGCTGGTTTTGAGAGGAATCACGTCTGCGACGTCAGCCTGGTTCGTCCTGTCTTCAGGGTGGTACCGGGCTCCTGAAACAAAAGGCTAAGAAGGCTGGAGGGGAGGTTTGCAGAAGAGACGAGAAAGGTGACATGGTTTAAAATCCAGCTTCCCTGAAGCATTAGTGTAGCCATTTTGATTTTTGTTCAACTTTAGGCTTTTAAGTGGTTTCGATAGCATCAGGCCACTAAACACTGAGCAACTGACTGACACTGTATGGGCTGTCATCTCCGGTTTCTCTGCGGTCACACTTGTCAAAAGAAAACATCCAGGCAGTTCCACATCCTGCACAACAGTGTGAGATGCTCTGTGGATCCATGACCCAGTGGAACCGGGGAAAATTGTTTTTAAAATAACCATCTAAATTCTCTGGCATCTAAGTGCACAGAGCAAATGAAGATAGATTTATTCCAGAAAATCTACTAAAACTCAGGAAGAACTACATGGAGTCTGTGGTATTTGAACCAAGACGCACCTTGTCCCTCCCCTCGCAGTTCGGAGAGATGGAAACTCCCCTCCTGTCTGGTACAGACAAGAACCCAGGGCTCTCTCTCCTCCCAGATCCCAGCCATCAGGCTATCCCCAACTGACCTGTTGCTAAGACCAAGTCTCAGGCAAGGACACTTAAGACGCGGGGGCTGTCTTCTGCTCAGACTCTACTGGTGGGACTGGAGCTCTGCATGGAGTGTGGCAGGGCCCAGAATACAAGACCCACCCCTGTCCCTTAGAAAGCTCATGGGCAAGGAATTCCCACCAGCACTGGCAAGCCAAGGAGGCCTAGGGCTGTGGCCTCCGGACCCACTGAGTACTCAGCTACTGGAGTGGGGGTGTCACTCAGATAGAATTACATCATTGTGAGACAGGGAAACTAAAGGGACCCCGTGAAAGACTCTCTTGCTGCTTCTGTTCTTGCTAGGACCAAAACCGCAGCCCTATACATGCCTTATGGTAAAAGTAACTCATGCTTTCCTTGTCAAGGTCAAGGACTTAACAATTTCTTTATAGAGTCTTCCAGCACAATAGCTAACATCTAAGGAGTGACGGTGGGGGAGGGGAGGCGGGGGTGGGGGTCGTCATGTTCAGGGCATAAGAGACTTATGGAGAACACCTAAACACTCCTCTTCGTTTTGACCAGTACCGGACCACCGTCCTCAATAAAAACCCAAGACCACAAGCAAAGACAAGACTCATGTTTCTTTCTTTCGGAGTCTCCAAGATGCTCTGTCTTCAATAAACCCTGTGCTAACTTCCTCTCAGCTGGAGATTGATTTCCACCCTGCCTGAAGCCAAGGACTCTCTTGGCTGGTCCTGCTGGACCTTCTCGGGGTCCTCGGACCCAGCCACTGTTGTCCCCACTACCCCGTTGTCCCCACTACCGGCACAGAGCCTTGACTCTAAGATTTCCCCCAGAAGGGAGAAGCAGACCAGAGAGAGCTCCAACTCCTCCCTAAAAGAATGGACTCCATTTGCAACAAATTGTAGCAAGCTGCAAGCTTTCTGGAACTCTCAAAAACAGTAAAGGTCATGGTGAAAGACACTTGTTAGGAGATTGATAGATTCATTAAAAAATATAGGCTAAACAGGAGGCAAGCTAATTTGCTCAAGAAAAATGGGGGAAGAGGCAACGGGGAAGGGACCTCCTAGGGTCAAAATGAATCTCTAACACTGACCTCAGGCACTCATCTTACAAAGACATTTTGATTTGATTGAATTCCACCATGAAGAATTCATTCCCTGAGGCATGTTGAAAACAATAGAGTAAGCAGCGGGTGTCGGGTATCGTGAGAGAAAGAGACAGAGAGACCTGCCTGAACACCTGTCAGCACAGGGTAGTTGTGGGCAAACTCAAGGCCGCTCCCCCGATGGGCACCGTCAGAGACCTCCCCTGAGAGCCAGTGATGGGTGGCCACTCAGATTAATTCTGCAGTCACTAAGCAAGTAAACTAGTGAATAGCAATGACAAGGTCGGGGGTGGGTGACCCGTAGCCACATTTCCCACGATAATATCAAAAATATTTTCAACAAAAAAAAATTGCAAGATACAAATGAATAAGAAAGAATGACCCATTAGAAGAGGAAAGAAAGAACAGAAAACAGAACTGTCTGTGAAAGAGAACAGGTGCTCCCAAAGTCTATGTCATGACACCAGTGACCTCACACCGACTCCTGACAGGTGACCAGAGCTGGCGTGGCCTCTGTCCTTTGCCAGCTTCTACCCCTAAGGCTGAGGCCACCTTCTTATGCTCCCACCTTATGTTAACCCTCCATTGTGTCCTGGACCCAACCTCTCCCTTCTCGAGGCCTCCCCTGAGGCTGTCCCTCGGTTCTGTCCTGCACCATCAACCCCTCTCCCCTGCTGGGACCATTACCATCCGCATGTACACACCTGAAACATAGACCCCCACCTCTAACTTCACATGGCCTCCAGCTTCGCCCCACTTCTCTCCAAGTCTTGACACGAACCCCTTCATAAAGCTGTCCATACCTACTGATTTCACATCCTTCACTCCCACACCACATGGGTGTTGTCCTCTCCTAGCACTGAATGTCTGACTAAGGTCACCAAGGCCCAAAAGCACCCCAAGCCAATGGCCATTCCTCTGTCCTTTCTTAACTTCCCAGCAGCCCTGGACATGGTCAGCCATTCTCTAGTTCCCGAAACATTTTGTTCTCTTGGCTCTTGGGTCCCATGTCTGGATTCCCCCTGGGGATCCCACAGGCTCCCCCTCCACAGTCCCCTTGCTGGCTCCTCACCGCATCTCCCCCCCACCCGCCTCCACAGGCTGACTAGTCCCTTCTGTCCTAAGACAGGAATGCTCTCCTTCTGCACTTTCTCCCGGTCCTTCACATTCAGTTCAGGGACTTCAAATGTGGACTTGGCCCTGACCCCGCCCCCCCATTCACCTGCCTGTTGACATTTCTACCTGCCTGTGGAATAGACACACTTCTTAGGGTCAAAGTAGAACCCTTCCTTATTCTCTCCAAGTCCACCCATCCAAATGTCTTCCCCTCAGTACATGTCACCACCATCCATCCATGGGCTAAGGTCAGATTATTACCAGTCATTTATTTTTATTTTTAAATCATGTCAAATTTAGAAAAAAAAAGTGTAAGACTAGAACAAAGAGCTCCTTTTCACCTTCACCAGATTTCCCCCCACCCCGTAACATTTTACTACATGTATGTGGTGTGCGTTTCATCGTAGTGTTTCTGTGTGGACATATTACCATTTCTTCTAAATCATTGGCAGTCCGTTGCAGACTCGGTGCCCCACAACCCCCTTAATGCTTTAGTGCATGTTTCCTTACAAGAAGGACACTGTCATCCATAAACTCGCACCACCAGCCACATCAGGACTCTGATACTGGCACAATATTATCATCGCAGACTGCCAGTCATGTCCCTAATGGCAGGTTCATCGTTAGAACTATGCCTAGTGTCTGCTTAGTTTCCTTTGATCCGTAACAAGTCCTCCACCTTCTCTTGTCTTTCCTGACCTTGGCATAGTGAAGGCCAGCTCCTGTGTAAAAAGTCAGTTTGGGTTTGTCTGAGGTTTCCTCAGGATGTATGCATTTTGGGGCAGGAGGGGCAGAAAACATTCATCACCTGTCTGCCAGTTTTCTCCACTGTCAACTTAACTAATAATGCAATTTGTTAATATCAAATTAGTAAGTACGTCTTAGGAGTATACTTGGCAATAAGTCTACATGATTATCTGGCATTCTGCAGTAAGGGAACATTTTCCTTTTTCCATTATGTATTAATTTATTATTTATATAAATCCATGGATTCTAATTTACCTAATGGGTTATAATTTGCTTTTGCCATATTCTGTTTTGTATTAAAATGGCCCAAGATTTCACCACTGGTGAAGTCTCGACCTGCTTTTATGATTGAATGCGCCAATCCTCCTTGTGATGGCCAGCAACCCTTTGCCCCACCTCCAGTGACACTCTCTTAAAGATTTGCATGTCCGTTCTCACCCATATGATTGGGGGTGGGTGTAAACCCTGCATCAGCCCCAGCAGTGTGTCCTGACTCTGCTCACACTAATCAGTGTAGCCCATGCCCTCGGAACAGAGGGATGGGTTCCAAATGGGTGCCAGGCCCATTCTGGCCAGTGAGAACAGAGATGTCTGATGGGGCTTCTGGAAAAGACACTGCCATTCTCTTCCAAAGGAGCTTCTGAAAGACAGGATAGCAAAGAACTCTCCTTCCCTCTTCATGACATGGTCTATAATGTCAAGTTTGGACCTGATGTGCCGATGGCTGCTGCCCAGAAGGAAGCTAGTCTGAGAGCAATCTCAGTACACAGCGGTGGAAGGAACTGAGAAAACGGCCAACTCACAGGACCGGAGCTCTGGTGACCCCACAAATTTCTGGATCATTTTGTGCCTGAAGCTATCCATGGACTGTTTAATGATTTCACCCAATAAATTGCTTTATGCATTTAAGCCAGAATGACCTAAGATTTCTGTTGCTCGCAAGCAAAAGAATCCTAAACAATACACTCCCCCAAAACAGAAAAAAAGGGGCTTCCTGCAGAGAAAAGCAAAGGACAGGTTTCTGTTCCTGATGACCGAAAGCCATCTCGGCTACAAGCCTACTGCTCTCCCCTGCTAGTCTGAGAGCTTCTGGGGGTATATTCACGGGGTACCCCAGCTCTTAGAGGCTTCATACATATTTCATGGCCCTGTCTGGTTCACCGCGAAATCCCTAGCCTCTAAACAGAGCGGGACACATACAGTAAACGTGGACTGAATGAGTGTCTGGGTCCCCCAGGCATGCCTCCCAGCCCCTCCCCTCATACCCACCAAAGGAATGGAAGCCGTGGCTACAAGCTTGCATGACATTTTATTCTCTACCAGGGGAGGGCGCTACAAAGAGTTTGGTGAGGGAAACTGGAGGGTCCACCCTGGATTTAGGAAGGCAGGAGCTGGCGATGGTTGTTGAAGACTCTGTGCTTCTCCTGAGGGTCCGGTAAGGCCCCAGAGGCTCCAAGACCTGAAGTGGTGAGAGGAGCCTGCTGTGGGCAGGTGTGTGGGGTCTTCGGGGGAAACGGGGACCCAGAGCCACCTGCCCCTACTGAACACACCCAGAGTTACATCCTGAAACCCAGTCAGGAACCTGAGCAGGCTGTGGGGCTTTGGAGATAAAAATCACAAGCTCCATGAAGGGAAATGGTGGGGAGCTCACTGTACAGGGTGACCCCAGATCTGTAAGTCCAAAGCCTCAGTCAAGGTTAAACGTGCTGCCAGAGCCACTCAGGGGACCCTTCCCTGCCCCACGTCCTACAGCCCTGGCATGTGCATGGACACAGCCTGAGCAGCCCTGGAGGAAGGGACTGCAGGGCCCTCTGTGCCATCGGGGTTCCCGAGCCCAGTGCTTAGGCCCCCAGGGTGTTGGGCAAAGTTGGTGCCTGGCTCCCATCCCCCAAGACCAGTGGGGGAAGGGAGATCAACCAGGGCTCTGATGTCTAGGAGTATCCCTATCCGAGACCACTTCCCTGGTATCAACCTCCTTATGCATAATCATCTCATTTAATCCTTATTTGAAATAGGAAATAGGGATTGTTATGAACAATGGGTGTTACAATAAGACTGATAAATCACAGACCTGTACCCTGAAACAAATAATACATTATATGTGAATTAATTGGATTTAAATTTTTTTAAAAAGGAAAAATGACTCAAAAAAAAAAAGAAAAGAAAAGAAATAGAGATTATTATCCCCTTCACAGGTAAGGACACTCAGTCTCACCGAGGTGGAGCCACTTGCTCAGGTGCCTGGCTGACCATCGACGGAGACCTGCTGTCACCCCAAGATTGCCTGTGAGAAAAGCAGCACTCGCGGGGCTCCAGCCAGGAGTCCCTGCTGTCCCCTCCGCACTCACCTATTTCTGGTCTGCACATCCTGATTTTCACACAGATTTTCTGGGGGGAATTGTCATTCTCGAGAGCCTTGGTGATGGCACTAAGACATTTAGTAACTGTTTTAACTGTTTTGTCACATAGACACTTGGGTATGTGTATCTTCTGGCATACCACGGACACAGCCCACTTGATGGCTTCCTGCAGTAAGAGCACCACAGAAAGATGGAGGAGTCAGGGGAGCTCTGCCCGGGTCAGCCCCCTGCGGGCCCCCAGCAGCTCGAGGCCCTGGGCCCCACTGACCGCGGCATGCCGGGAGTGGGACGGTGCATGGAAGCAGGGGCCAGAGATCTTGGGATTGACCCTCGTGCCCAGGCTCCAGCCCAAGCCTGGCCTGCACCGGCTGTTGAGAGGACAGTTGGCCCTGTCGTGTCTCAGTGCCCTGCACAACATCACCCCAGCCCTCGGCCCTCTGTGTGGGGAGTAGCGCCCTTGGCCGCTAGACCCACATGGAAGGTTCTGCTGCCAAGCTGCCTGGGTCCCAGGCCTGGGGCTCATGCTCAAGGCTGAGGCAGGAAGGTTAGGAGAAGAGAGAGCGTGGAGCCTTGGCACGTTCGATATTGAAGTATGTTTTGCTACCATTGAAGTCGGGAAGGAGGATAAAGCTGAAAACCCAGGGCTGAGGGAAGGCCGGGCAGCGCCAAGAGGCTGAGCCAAATCAGGGAGCAAAGGGGAGGGAGGGAGGGTGAAACAAGTCTTCTTGGTACTATCAGCCCTGACTCGGGGCCTGACAGGGAGCCAAGCATGTCCCACCCCGCCAGCTCCTTTAAAAGGCTTGGGCGACTTGCAAGACGGGGATTATTTTCCATCTCATTCTTCAGGTAGGAAACCGAGGCTCAGAAAGCCTGAGGGCTGGGCCCAGCCAGGCAGCCAGGGAGTGGCAGAGCTGGGGTTGATCTGTCCCGACCCAGGCCCCCCTGGAACCAGCCTCGCAAAGCTCCTCCATGGACACACGCAGTGGGGCTACAGGGCAAAGTTCCTACCTTCTCTGGGGACAAGTTTCCTTTAACAGGGGAATGGAAACCACGCGCACTCTGCTTCCTACATTCATGCGCCCAGAGCTGTGCCATTTCAGGGGATTTTCTGAAGTCAGTTACCAGACACAGGAAGGGAGCCTGCAGATTCCCTGCTGACAAGCTCTGGCCCTGCCTCAGCGCTGCCCCCAACCCCTGAATCACCGCTCATGCCCTTGACCACCCTGCAGATGGCTCCCCAAACCGCAAGGCCTTACCTGCGTGTGATTGTGTCTCAGGATTTTTCCCAGCCACTTGATTATAGCCATACACGTCTTACAGGGGGTGATTATCTGGTCACCCTGTCAGAAAATGATACCCCCTGAGGTGATCTCTCAGACACCCCCAATAGCCCTTGTCAGGGCCCCAGGATGAGGCTCTGGGGTGCCTCCTAAGCCAGCAGGATCGTCTATGTTCTTTCTGTCCTTTAGGGCCTAAAGCGGGCTGGTAGGCCCCTGCCCTCGTTCCCGCTAGTCTTCCTGGGACTGACACTCCAGACCCTGCCCCACACCCATAGCACCTTAGCCAGCTCAGCATCTCCCCCTCTTCTGGTGTCTGGTCAGACCCTGGAGGACACCATCATGGCCCCCCCACCCAGGCAGGGGTGTACACAAAATCAGCATCTTCAGCCCACAGCCCCCCTCCCTCCCCCCGCAGAGAGGTGCTGTCCCGCCTGGCACTCCCAGGGAGGAGACAATGGCGGAGAGGTGACGAGGGCAGGGTGGGGGGGTTGTTCTGGGAGCTGAGCAGGGAGCCAGCTGCCAACCTTGGGGTCCTCCTCAGCCAGGATCTTGAAGAACTGCTCCTCCTCATACATGTCAGCCATGGACAGGTCATTGTCCTCATGGGTCAGACCAGAAAAGGTCAGACCTGCAGAAGAAACAACATCAGCATCTCTCCACAGGTGGAAGGGGAGGGAAAGTCAGATCTCCTGGCTGCTAGGGAGCCCAGGAGGTGGCCAGAGCCCAGGACAGGGGTGGGGCTTTATGAGGAGTCCAGGAACGCTGTCCTCAAATTCTGCCCTGGGGTTGCTCTGACCTAGGCTCTGTGCCAAAGCCAAGCTCTCTAGTTCTTTCTGGAAAACAGGAGGAAAAGATTATACCTCCCCTACCATCATCCATGAACCCCTCTTCTGTCTCTGTCTCTGTGTGTCTCTGTGTGTCTCTATTCTCTCTCTCCCTCTCCAAAGTAAATGCACACTGGCGATTCACAGACCTGTACCCCTGGGGCTAATAATACATTATATGTTTATAAAAATTTTTTTTTTAAAAAGTACACACACAAAAACACACGCACACAGATCTGACCTAAAGGAAACTTCCCTCATCTCCTCTCTGAGGTCTTTCTTCTTCTCTTGCCTTCCACAAAGAATTCAAATCAGGTGGCCTGGCCCAGCCCACTCTCCAGAACTGTCCCTACCCTCAGCTAAGGAGGCGCTGCAAGTGGAATGGGGAATGTCCTTACCTGGGGTGGCCAGGAGCACCGACGCGAGGAGCAGGAGGGCCCAGAAGGTCATGGTGGGGCAGCTGCTGACACAGCCTCCACACCCCCTTTATGCAGGCTGGCCACCTGACAACGTGACCTTGACGGGTCCTGCTTCTCATGTAGGCCACCTCTCCAGGTCACTTGGTTTACCGCAAACACAGATACCAGCTTCTGCAGAAGAGGGGGAGGATGGGTTCTTCTGAGGTTACACACTATCTTCCACCTCCCTCCACACACACTGCTAGAACTTTCTGAGCTGAGTGGGGGGTTGGCTGGAGGGCAGCAGCTGCCCCAACCCTGCCTGGGATGTGCTAATGGAAGAGAAATCCCTGCACCTGAGGGGTCAGGTGGGGCCCTTGGCCATGGAGCATCCCGCCCCCTCCCCCTTCTCACCCCCCTCCTTCTGGGGGCTCCCTCCACCAGCCGTCTCCCGTATTCCTGCTCTCCCCCAGCCACAGCAGCCCACGGAGAGCTACCCGATTCTGCCGGATTTAGAGACAGGTCCCTCCGTGTAGATGCTGACGGCTCCTCCCAGCCCAACTTCCTCAGGGTGGTGAACCCCAAGCATGAGGACTGAAGAATCTCTGGTCCCCAGCTCCTCACCAGCCTTCTGGCCATCACCATGGAGGCAGGCTTTTCCCTCAGAGCCCAACCTGTCAGTGACGTGGTCCACAGGGAGAGACAACCTGTGGGGAGAAAGTGAGCTCCGGCCAGGGATCTAGTCCCAGCTCCCCGGGGCTCTGAGTCCTCGTCTGTGCATGAACGTCACTGGCCTTCCCCTGCAATAGACACAGGCTGCCCAGTCAGCATCCGGGACCAGATAAATCACAAATAATTATTTCACATATATGATTCCAAACATGGCATGGAATTTACTCGTTCTGTGTGCCCTGTTCACCTGACACTCACATGACCCAGGGTGTCTTATCTTTTGTCCAGCACCCTTCACCCTCCTCCTTCATGGCTCAGAGGAGGAGACTGGGTGCAGAGAGCAGGGGCCCTGACCTCAGCCACACGGGCTGCTGGTGGCACTGCCGGGGCTGGAACTCACTTCCTACCTCCTTTGGGGTCTTTCACCCCAGCTGCTGAGACGGCAGAGCCGCCCAGCCAGGACCAGCTGGCACGGTCCCCTCAGCACCTCCCAGCCCTCCAGCCCCCCTCAGCATTCGCTCTCACTACCTCACCCTTTCCCACTGCCTGGGAATCCCTTCATGGGCTGAGGACCAAGGGTCTGCCTAAATTCTCTAAATTCTTGTATCTTCCCTGAGCTCATTCAGAGCCTGCTCACCTCTGCAGAGAAGGAAAGCGGGTGGAGCTCTAGGCCAGCAGGCCCCGGACAAGCTGGGGGCACCTGAGCAACATTCCCCGTCTCTTGGAGTCTCAGTTCCCTTATCTACGAAATGGGCGTAGTGTTGCCTGCGCATGGGGCTCCCAGGTCGCCTGTCTTTGTGCATGAGGAAGCTTTTCAGCCTGCACTGTGCCGGCCAAGGTGGGCTAATGTCCTGGGTGGTTTCTGTGAGCGCTGCTCCCATGGGAGGGGACTGGGAGGGGGTTCCTGTCCTCAGGGGGAAAATGCCCTGCTGGGAAGGTGCCACAGGTATTTTTCCCACGGGACTCCTCCGTAGCCTTGACATGCCAGCATTGCTGGTGGGTCCCCAGCTTATCAGTCTCTCCTAACATCATTGGCCACAAAACCTTCTGGTCCAGGAGCTATTATGGGATCGGGGGACACTAGCTGACCTGGTACCCGTCTCAGGATGTGTCTTCAGGAGCACTGCCGGCCTAGCAGCCACTACAGCGTGAGGGGCAGCTGTCCTGGGGACTCAAAACAGAAGGACGGACAGCCAGGCCCCTCCCCAGACGGTCAGACTGAGGTCCTCCTCATTCTCACTTCCTTTCCTGCTTCAAGGTGGGCAGTGTGGAGAGTGGGCTAAGCAGGTTCACTACACCCCAGGGTGGGCCAGACTGAGCCGAGAAACATGGGGCCCCCCAAGTCTTTTCTGGCTCTTCTCCCCAGCTTGAGGAGGGCAGACACACCCACACACTCACTACACATACGCTCACTCACATCACACTCATAATGACGCACACTCATACACTCTGCAAAGTACTCACACACTAAGTGTCAGACCACACACGCACACACAGTGCACATGTGCACGCGCACACACACACACCCACACACCATCTTTATTCCTGCTCATTGTGGATGCCACCAATGCCAGACTGAGGAGCATGGAATGTCAGCATTTTAAGTATTTTCATCTCCTATTTCTATTTTTTATTAAAAAATATTTTAGGGGCATCTGGGTGGCTCAGTCGGTTAAGCGTCTGCCTTCAGCTCAGGTCATGATCTCAGGGTCTTGGGATCGAGCCTCACATCGCGCTCCCTGCTTAGCAGGGAGCCTGCTTCTCATTCTCCCTCTGCCTGCTGCTCTGCCTACTTGTGCTCTCTCTCCATCTCTCTCAAATAAATAAAGTCTTAAAAAATTTAAAAAAATATGTTTCAATCAGATAAGAAAGTTCAAATGCAACTGCCTAAAGTTAATCGCGCAAATACAGTAAGCCTGTTGAAGATATACAGGACCATCCACTTACACTTTTAAATGAATATATTTCAAAGTAAGTATATGTTTATGTGTAATTATATACCATGAAAAACTATCTTTAAACACCTTTTTTAACTCAACAAAATATGAACCTCCTTCCAGGTCCATCTATGCAGATTTCCTTCATCATTTCCACTGGTGGCTTAATGTTCTACTTTAGGGATGAGCTATAACTTGATTCTGAGGCTCATGTGTCCACCTTTTCACAGGCACAGCAGAAGCTGGGAAAGCCCTGTGATGTCTCCTGCAATGGTCTATGTGAGTAAGAGAAATGTCTTCAAATAGAGTGCCTCATGACCTCAAGATGGCTGCTATAGCTCATCCAGAGCTCAGGGCCTCATCCCAGGTAGAAAAATGGGAAGAGTGAAGCAGGAAGAGGTGACACCTATTTAAGAAGAGCAAATCTTTCCCAGAAACCTTCTGCTTCCATCTCATGTATAGATCTCAGTCACACCCCCCAGATGCCAAAGGCTACAAGGAAGAAAGCTGTCTGCTGGAAATTTGTTGTCACTTTGAACAAAATTGGGCTTCTGCCAGGAAGGACGAGAATGGGAATCAGGTAGGTTAAAGCAGTATGGGGTACAGGAGGACTTCTTGCTGAAAGGCCTTTGGAAGGAAGACTGATAGGACTTGGTATCTAATTGGACACCGAAAATTGAGGAGAGAGGAGGCCAAAGTTTTACCATATTTTGAGCCTGGGAAGCTGAAGGACTGGTTGCGAAGCAGTAAAAGTAAGAGAAGGAGCTTGTCTGTGACAAGTCACATTGAGGTGTTGCGGTGTGTGCCACTAGACGTGGAACGCTCCAGGGCAGGGTTGCCTCCGCTGAATCCGGGCTTGGCTCTCGCCAAAGTTTGGGTTTTCCCCCATCCCCCATCCCACGCTGCCCCTCTACCTAGGTGTCCAGAAAGGAGCTGCCACCCCTCTCCCAGCCCACCCCAGCATTGACTCCCCCAGCTCCCCCTGCTCTCTATGCTTTAACCCCATGGAAAGACTTTGGTCTAATGTGCAAAGACCACATTAATGAAGCGGAAGAGCCTCTGGAGGGTGACTCATGTTTGTTGTGGTTCTGTGGTAAGGCCAGATATTCCAGTAAGTTCTTGCCTGGGGAGTTGAGGGGAATAGCACAAGGTTCACGTCACGAGACTCCACGCAGGTGTCTGGGGTCCCACCAACGAGCACCTGGGCAGCTCCTACCTTCTTCCTGCTCGTGGGGTCTCACGGATGCAAGTCAAGCCCAGGCGCTCCAGGATTTCCTGTGTGAAGCTTACTGCTTTGTGTATCTTCTTCAAGGAATCTTGGCTTTCTCCAAGGCCATGAAGGTATCCTCTTGTTTTCTGCCAGGTTTTATGGTTTTAAATTTTGACATCTGGCCTATGATTTATCTCAAGTGAGCTAGGTTGAGTTTCCCCAGTTTCAGATCAATTTGTTGAAGATTTTCCTTTTTCCATTGAATTGCTTTAGCACAACAGGGTTGAGGGGTTGTATGAAAGCAAACACCAAAGATTTGGGGAGGATGTGCAGCAACTGCTACTTCTAACATTGTTGGCAGGAGTAGAAAAGGGTTAATCACCCTGAAACTTGGAATGACGGCTTTTCATGCAGTTAAGCCTCACCTGCCCTATGATCCAGCGATGCCGCCATCTGCATTTTTACCCACACTAAATGAAAACGTCTGTACATACAAAGATTACACAAGAATGACACACGTATGTGACCCAGCAATGATACTGCTGGATATATACTCAAAAGAATTGAAAACAGGGATTCAAAGAGATGTTTGCATATCAATGTTCCTAACAGCATTATTCACAACAGACAAAATTGGAAACAACCCATGTGTCTATCGACAGAAGAATGGAGTAAGGAAATGCAGTGTATACATACAATGGATTATGCAGCCATAAAAGAAGCAAAGTTTGGACACGTGCTATAACATGGATGAAACTAGAACGCCTCATTTTAAGTGAAATAAGCCAGACACAAAAAGGTAAATATTGTGTGATGTCACTTACATGACTATCTAGAATAGACAAATTCATAGGGATAGAAAGATTAGGGTTACCAGGGGTTGGGGGGAGGGGCTATGAGGGAATTATTGCTTAATGATTACATAGTTTCTATTTGGGGTGATGAAAAATTTTGGGGAATATATAGTGGTAATGGTTGTACCATATTTTAAGTGTGATCAACACCAATGAATTGTACAATTAAAATGGTTTAAAATGGGGGACGTCTGGGTGACTCAGTTGGTTAAGCATCTGCCTTCAGTTCAGGTTGTGATCCCAGGGTCCTGGGATTGAGTCCCACATGCGGCTTGTTGCTTAGTGGGGAGCCTGCTTCTCCCTCTGCCTGCCATTCCTCCTGCTTATGCTCTCCCTCTCTCTCTCTTTATGACAAGTGAATAAATAAAATCTTTTTTTAAAACTTGAAAATGGTTAAAATGGCTAATTTTGTTATATATATTTTACCACAATAAAAAATTTCAAAAAAGGAGTTTGTTCACAGAAACTTCCGTGAAGCTAAAAACTGTAAGTGACCCAAATGCACATCAGCAGGCAAATGGATGAACAAATTAAGGTATAGCCATACAATATGTGCAAAAAAACAGTCGTATCTGAAACACTGAGCATAATGACTACATTCTGTATGACACCGTTTGTATAAAGTTCTAGAACAGGCAAAATTCATCTGTGGCACCGACAAGCAGAACAAACGAAGGAGGCTAGAGGAGGGGGCGGGCATCCTGGTGAACAGGGGCCCACTCCCTGGTGATGACAATGTTTATATGTTGTGGGCTGGAAATTGCCTGCGGGTGTGCACCTAGCTAATCTCCTCCAGCTTTACAGGTAGGACTTATGCATTTCCCTCTATGGAAGCCATACCCAGTAGGATTATCTGACAAATCCTCTAGTTCTGAATAATCATGGCTCCTAATGAACATAATCAAATACTTCCCAAATGGATTGTATCAGTTCACACCCCCACCAATACCAGTTCCCTGGGCTCTCACCAGCATTAAATATTATCAGCCTTTATCTTGCAAATGTAATGAGAGAAAACAGCAACTGCAAACTGCAACTTACAACTGCAAATTAAGTTTAATATCTTCCCATATGTTTACTATTAAGTTTATTTGGAGGGAATTGTCTTTTTGTGTCCTTTACCCAAAACCAGGCTCTACTATTTTCTTCAATATGTGG